AATTTTTAAAAGGGGCTTATAATTAACAGTAATTAATTAAAGAAGCAAGCTAAAGAGAAATTAAGGGAAAGGATCAAATTCGCAAAGGCATGGATTTGTTTTTAATAAAACATAAAATTTTGTTTGCAATTAATGTTAAACGAAATAAAATTTTGCATTTAACCTTTTGTGAATTATATTAATTTATTAAAAATAAATATTAAAAAAAAGAATTTAGAAAAATATATAATAATATTTTATAATGTTAAACTTAAAAAGTTTTTAATGTTAAATGTTAATATTTTTTTAAAATAATTTTTAGAAAATTTAAAATAAAATGTTAGAAATTAAAGTAAAATACCCAAATTTAAATAAAAATATGAAATATTATAATATTAATATATTTAATTAATTATAATAAATAAATAATGAGCTTATAAAATATAATTATGAAATGATTGATAAAGATTCAAATAATTTATTTAATGAATTATTAAAAACAAATTAAAAATAAAAAAAATAATGAACGAAAATAAAAAATAAAATTTTTGGGATTGTATTTAAATAACTACAAAAATGAAAAATAACTTAATTTTGACCAAACTTCCATATTGAAAGTAACTGGGTCCAAATATCAAAATTTTTAACTTAAATTTAAACTTTATTGAAAAAGTTTGACAATACAATAAGAATAAAAAAAGAGAGGATATCATTGAGGAGTTCGGATGAAAAACTATTGCATCAGGACTCAGGACTTCACATATAGTGTAGAGTCTAATGAAATCACGTCACGTGAATGTACAAAAAAAAATCGGTCCAATAACACAAGGAAATATTCCCCCCGTGTTGTTTCGTGGTATTCAAGTGTTATTGTATGTTATTTAGGTGTTATTGTATTCTTGGAATATTCTCGGTATATAATAACACAATAACATATCAATAATATTTGAATAACACACAATAATACTTGAATAACACACAATAATATTTGAATAACATGGCAGAAGTATTCCCTAGTGTTGCCGGACATATCTTATTTTTTTTTCTGTCACCACCACGCGACGTGATTTCATTGGATTCCGCACGTAACTCTACACGCAGAGTCCTGATAAAATATTTTCTACGTTTGGATTGGTTGCACTTGTAGTTGATGTTCCTCTTTATCATCTTCATGCGAAATACTCGACCTGCAGTTTCATTTGTGACTCAATTACAGTGGGCCACCAATCCATATTTAATAAGAGACTTGAGTTGTGGCATCAACAGATTATCATATACAAGAAGATGATGCCTTGCTAATTTATAAACTTAATATTAATTTATATCATTTTATAATTATAGTTTATAAACTCAAAATTTATTTATCATAATTTATTAAAACATTAACATTTTAGTTTCTCATATTTTATCTTAATTTTTAATATTTTATTTTAGTTTCTAACATTTTACTTCAAAATTTCTAAAATTTATTTAAAGAAAATATTAACATTTAATATTAAAATATTTTTAAGTTTAAGATTATAAATATTATTTAATATTTTCATAAATTTTTTTAATATTCATTTTTAATAAGTTGATATAATTCAAAAAAGGTTAAATGACACAAATAATTTCTGGTTTTATTAAAAGCGTATCCATTCCTTGCGAATTTGCTTCTTTCCCTTAAACACTCTCTAGCTGACTTCTTTAACAAATTACAATTAATTAAGTGCCCAATTTAAAAAATTTTCATGGAAAGATTTGGACATTTTGTAATGTATTAGAATTAAATGAAAAAATGACACATATTAGAACACACAATGGAGAAAAGAAGATTCATGTGGCGGACTCCACTTAAGGCCCGTTTGAGGCAGCTTATAAGTGAAAACGCCGCCTCACTTTTTGTTTCTCGCGTTTAAGGGGAGTTTTTAAAAACTGCGTTTCCTAATTTATATTGCACGCGGACCGCGGGGCGCCGGATCGCAGGGGGCGCCCCGCGATTCGGCGTTTCCTTTAGCATTTGACGCTGTTGCCCCATGTTCGCCTTCCCCGTCCTCTCGGCTCTGCCCAAAAACTCTCAATCAGCGTTTCAAACGCCCCTTTTACCCACTTGCCCTCTCGCACTCCTCTCGCGCTACCCTATTTCCTTAGTCGGGTTCAGTGGATCCCTTCACTCTCCCGTAACTTCTTCTTCCTCCCCAAGCTCTCCCCAAGCTCTCCCAAGCTCTTGGTCGAAACCTACATGCCGCACAAGGGATAGGAAACGGCTCGCACTACTCCTCCTCTCTGTCGAAGATCTAGTGCATAAATGCTTCTTCTTCCAGATGTACGAGCTTTTCATCGAACTCAGCATCCACCTCTGCCTCAACCTCATGGGGTACGCATCTCTGCTACTTTATAATGAGTGTTCCAGCCTCTCGACTCTTATTTTAGTTATTTGGCACGAAGCAAATGGTTTTTAACGTCATACGGGGCTAGGCTCAATTGTTTTTTAGAATGATTGTTTTGGTTCCGTCTTCTCGCATTTTGTTGTGTTGGGGGATCAGGTTATTGTTTGAAGCATGATAGGTTCTCTACTGGCACTTGGGAGGAGAGAGTTCGCAGCTTGGGCATTCGTTTTGTTATATTAGCCAATTAGCTCACCATTGCAGATCTCTTGTTGCTACTTTATCAATGTTAGTACTCCATTGTGCTCCTTTCTTTCCTCATCAAAGTAGCAGGCTGCGTGGAACCCGTTTGAAGGAATTCTGCTTCGTGCGTTTTTTAGAGACATTGTTCTTTTACTGACATCTAGAACAATCACGAGACCCTGGTTTGATTCAGATCTACAGCTGTACTGGCATCATTGAGCGCGTTTTACTTTTTCTCTTCTACCTTTTCTTTTTAAGGATTATTATTCTTTAGTTTGAAATAAATAGGCTTCTTTTCCTTTTTATTAGTTGGTGATAATTGGTGGGATTTTGGGTGGTTGGGCGGGGTGTTGCGAACTGTTGTATTCTTATCCTTTGTTGTCTGATGTGATTTGGTGCGGTGTCTCTTTCGTTGTAGCTTCCAAGTGCACTTGTTTGGCGCCAAGCCTTTGTAGGACCTTAACGCGGGTAAGGGCATGTTCGATCTATCTTGAACTTTGCTTCTCGCATTTTCGAATGCAACTTAAGACGAAGACCTAGTTTTGTGACGCTATTTAGCTTCTTTGTACTTCTAAGATCTCACACATCAATTTTAAAAATATATCAAGTGCGCAATACAATTTGTGCTTCTCATTGACATACCTGCTTTTGTAGCACTTTTCAGCAGCCTGCGCTTGGCTCTTCAGGATATGATTGTTTACAGTAGAAGGATAGCACATATGATTTTGTTCCGTTGATGTTAATTAAACAAGGAAAAGTGAAGAATACTGCCATGTTATTATACTATCTAAATGTATAGCCAGAGTAATGAACAACATGAGGTGCGGGCTCAATACATATATTGCTTAGGTGACCTCCAAATGTCCCACATTATAATTTTGAGCTTCATTACCATCACCTATAGCTAGCCTTTGATTTTCTTCCTATAACTATAACCATATAGCTTTTTGTTCCTTAAGGAATATGGTATACAATCCTCATTATTCTTCAACAACATACCACAAAATTAGGGTGCACTAGATACTTGTAAATGAGGTCTATTATGTAGAACATCATGTTGAACCAATAGCCTGATTAATCATATGAGTTTGATCAATTATGTACTTAAAATGACATGGAAGAGCTCTAACATGGATAAAAACCATCTCCTTAGCTTCCCTATCCTGGCTGACTAACGCATGCAATATCTTGGCTCAATATTTTAGGGGATTAAAATATCATTCGAAGTGCTTTAAGAACTTAATATTATAATGTTCACAAGCACATGAATGCGATATTCAGTTTTTGTGTAAATGAATACACAACTGTCATATCCATTAGTAAGGCTTAAAATCAATTATTTGGAACCTCTAACTCCATTAACATGATAAATGTTTTTATTTTTGTAGAAGATGCACTTTATACTTGGTGATAGAATATAACATACATTTCAGTGAATACGATTAGCCAAAAACATCATTGATGAAAGATCAAATTAAAAATATCAATCAACTATGTCATGACATATTTTGAAAATAATGATAAGCCATTGAAGATAAAGTTTGGAATTATGGAACAACCCAAACAATACTAACACAATAATAAGAACATATGAGAGAGTGGAGGTTGAATGTATAGATATGATAAAGTTGCAGGCTAAATAGGAGGGTTGGTTGTGAACTGTTTGATGTTGGTGGGAACTTGATTTGGTTGGTAGACAAGTAGGGTGGTTGGGTGTTTGTAGAATAGGTGGCCTTAACAACTGACTTTTATTGTAATCCTCTTGTGCGCATTTAGCTTTTGAAAAAGGTTGTTTTGCAAAATTAGCTTTGAAAAAATTTGGATTACTTTATACCATTTTAACTATGTATTGGGCAAAACTTTGGTACTTGTCGTGTAAATATTAAAATAAATTAAAAAAGGATTTGTTTTTTTCGTTTTTAATCAAATAAGTACACACACACACATACACACACTCGTGCGCGCTCACCCATCCAGCCGAACAATCAAAGATTATTTATTTAATTAAAAAAATTGAGAAAATAACAAATTCTGTTGCAAGATTATTTATTAAATTAAAAAAAAAAATTGCAAATAAGCTGTCTACAAAACGTACTAACCAAACAGCTAAACAGTTTATCAGAACAGGGGCAGAATGATCAATTTTTCAGAATCAGCTGTTTTCCATAAGCGCAAACCAAACAGCCAGACAACTTATACGGATCAGCTACTCATCAGCAGATTATCAGGATAAACTACTTATCAGTAAAAGCTGGATAAGCTTCAGCTGCCCCAAACAAACCCTAATGGTATAAAAGTTTGTTATATATATA